AGAGATTTGTTCATGAGATCTGAAATGGTTGGAAAAAAGACAGAAATTCCAAGCAACTCAAAATTATAATTCACAATAGATAAGTTTCTATTTCCACCGTTAGCTTAGAAACTCTGGTGTAAAATGCTCCAATTTCATCTGCATCTGCATCGGGGGGATATCGCTGCGTTGATGTTCGATAGCTCATCGAAATGACAGAACCATCAAATAATTTCAGCTAGCTAGAAATCCACTCTTTGTTTGAAAACCAACTGATGGCGCAATAACTGAAAACTAAACTGTTGGTTATTGGTATTAATTTTTTGACTGTGATACTTCAGACCATTAAATTCACCAGAGGTACATTACTTGGGGTTTGCAACGCGCATAGTACTGTATGGTGACATGTCAAGATCCCATTCAAGTCTCTTCTCGTAGATAGTGAGACTGGTGCTACGACCTTCAAACATGAAATAGGCGGTTTGTAATAATCAATAAATCATGTATTACCACATTCATAGTGAAAAAAATTAATACATCGAAAATGTACAGAAAATAAAGTTATCGTAATCCGTCATATCGTGAGCAGCTATTTTGGTCCACCTGGACGATCCAGTATCCTAGTTACCTCGGGCATGCGCATTCACATTTTTCTGAGTTGGAATGCTTATGCGAGAGCGAGATTGAAACGGGATCTTGGTATCATGTCACCGTAGTTGCAAATCCCAAGTAATGTGCCTCTGATTCACACATGAAAAGGTCTAAAGTCTGAAATGTGATACCTGTTGAAACCCTGTTTATTGAGCAGTATGAATAGCAGCCTGTCCTCTCTGTTTGAAGTACATCTTCTCAAAGCTGCACTCTGGGGTCTTGGCATTATTATTTGAAATATTTGATAGAAGGGTATGCATGAATATGGACCTTAGATGCAAACAGCCTCCAAGATTTTGTTGAAAGAGAGTGATCTATGGGAGAAATATGTTCCATTCTCACCAGTTTTCTTGTTCACTGTTTTGACACTATGGTGTCAAAAACATTGCGATGGAAGAGAGAAAATAAAGTCACATGGCTCCCTTACTTAACTTGGCAGCCATAACAGTCACTAACATTCAGTTACACTGATTATTGAATGTAAAAGTTGATGTGTCCCACAAATCATACTTAGTCGAATTGAAATTATTCAATGATTTCACAATCACCATATTCTCAGCTACGCTTTAGAAATAATTGTGGATTGCAACTTTGAATCAAAGGTACCTAATATTCTTTTGTCATTCTGTGCTATTTTTATATTATGGTACGTATATACTTTTTATGGTCAAGTGTATATAGTGTTATTTTATATTCTGTTTTCTGTGAAATATTGTGGTATTTTAAGTCTCAAGTTCTTGACGACCAAGATTGTTGTTGGTTTATCGTATTCTTGAACTTCTACAAACAAATAACTGAAAATTTATAGGATAAGCGTATTCAATTGATATGATAAAGATTCCATTTGAAGGCGCATGTGATGGTCACAAGACAAAAAAATGTTTCTTTAAATAGTAATACAAATTTATGAAAAAACTGTTTAGCATATTTGTTAGACTGGCCCAGCTGTGATGATTTTTTTAAAAAATTGGAAAAAATAGTTTTGTGAAAGGTGGGGTGAACGCAAAACCACCACATGGGAGATTTCGCGGTTACAGGTGATTTCGCATTAACACCTCCATTTCGCTATTTTTTTTTATTTAATTTTAAATTAAAAAAAAAATAAATCGCATAGACTGTGCCAGTCTACGTATTTGTGTATCATGTATCACATGCATTTAGCCATGTACAAAATAGTACAATCATCATAATGTTGATTTAATATTCACCGAAAAGGTATGATCCATCAAATTTTTTAGGGTTTATAACCTTTTCACCACGAGTCCCCTCTTTTCATCACAAATTCACAAAATAGTTATAATTTTGGAGCCAACAGAAAAAATTTGAGTAAATTTTCCGGTTTTTACACAAAAAATTTGGCTATTTTTGTCCCAATCTTTTAAAGGGAAGTGCAGACTATAAACACGACTATTTTGTGAATTTGTGATGAAAAGAGGGAACTGGGATAATTAATGTATTTATGTGAAGTCAGTTTAAAAACAATTGTTTTATCCAATTATTTGTACAGCAATATTAGCTAGGACATGATTGAAACAATATTGCATCTTCTCTAAAAATGTGTGAAACTGAAATTACAAAAGAGGTCAAACTGTACATAAAGTATCACGTAATGACCTGCTTATATAGTAGTGGTTTCTGTCAATAAATGTATTACAAATTATTTACTGCTTTATGTATAGATGCAAAATAGTCTATTTGATCAGATGTGTAAGTTTGTCTGTTCAGGCCCTTATTCTTTTTCTGTAATTCAACCCATGTTTATATACAGATTTGTAAACCACCACAGAATGCAGAAGGATCCTATCAGTGTCGCACTTTATACAAGTAGGTCCTGCAATGGACTGATTACAACTGTGGTGTTTATATCATAAACACATCTGTGTGATGACATTAATTTGACAGTAACACTGAAAAACGATTACACTTGTACGGAGAATGTAAGCAGTCACACTTGTGTCTGTATGGAGATTGTAAGCAGTCACACTTGTGTACTTGTATGGAGATTGTAAGCACTCACACTTGTGTATTTGTATGGAGATTGTAAGCACTCACACTTGTGTATTTGTATGGAGATTGTAAGCAGTCACACTTGTGTATTTGTATTGAGATTGTAAGCACTCACACTTGTGTATTTGTATGGAGATTGTAAGCAGTCACACTTGTGTATTTGTATTGAGATTGTAAGCACTCACACTTGTGTATTTATATGGAGATTGTAAGCACTCACACTTGTGTATTTGTATGGAGATTGTAAGCAGTCACACTTGTGTATTTGTATGGAGATTGTAAGCACTCACACTTGTGTATTTGTATGGAGATTGAAAGCACTCACACTTGTGTATTTGGAGATTGTAAGCAGTCACACTTGTGTATTTGTATGGAGATTGTAAGCAG